GAAAGAAAGAAAGAAAGAAAGAAAGAAAGAAAGAAAGAAAGAAAGAAAAAGAAAAAGAAAGGAGGGAGGGAGGGAGGGGCAAATGAAAGCTAACAAAATCTAACTTATGGTTGAGTTTAACATTTTAATAACATAGTTATTGCATTTGCAGATACATGCTATATTAGGTCAAGAAGATATTAATCACAAAATGTCTAGCCTATTAGGCTTTCAAGATAAAAAATAGGACAAACTAAGTCAAATTGTATTGATTCATTACATCAATAATTGTCAGGTACTTACAGAATTGTGCCTTCCTGTGGGCAGTACTGATGTCCTTGTGCCAAGATTATAAATTATTTCTATAACCCATATTAAAGTCCATACTTGCTACTGTACATAAATGACTCAAATAGAAAACAGATTTCAGAAGAACCAACAGCAGTTGCTATTTAGACAGTGTGCACAATTAGGAGTCATTGAAATGTACATTAAGGAGATCTGGGAAATAGAATATTCAATAAAATTCTGTCTGTTAGCATGCAATTTTGATTAGGATCTGCACTAATTATTATTATTAACCTGTAATTTGCAGATAAATGTCATCAAGTAGAAAGCCGAAGGTAAAGACAATGAATTTTATTCCCATCAAAGACTTTTCTGAACAGAAAAGATCCTTGTATGGAATTCTTTAAGTCATGAAATAAACACTTTAGATCCAGGTATTTAATTTAGCATTCAAGGTTTAAATTAGATGTTTGGCCTGGCATGTTATGATATCAAACATCTAGTATGTTGCAATGGATGTATTTATGTATATTAGTCGATATATATAACAAAGTTCAAATCTTAGTTCAGCTCTGAAACTCACAGGGAACCCTTGGTATATAGCTCCTTGCTTTAAGTAAATGTGACATGTTTGGACAGAAACAAAATATGATAAAAATTAGTGACATTATGGCATCATAATGGATTATGGTGCTCATGGACTGTGATAGCTTCCTCTTGTTGACCAGAAGAACTATGTTTTGTTAACTCATATCATCAGCACATAATCTATAAAATCTTCATACCAGATGCTCCTTATTTTCTGTAGGAATCAAATCAAATACACACACACACACACACTCACACACACACACTCTTTTGGGTTATTTACTCTTAAGACATCAGTGTACTTTGGCAATGTGATTGACATATTGTCCATCTGCAATATTATAGCAATTCATTAACTGAAAAATGAAAAATTTTTCAGAAGGCTTTCATTAACTTATTTTTAAAAGGAAGAATGATTTCTTTCTTTCAAAGAATTTTACACTACATCACAGAGGTTTAGAACTTGAATAGATTTTGCAGTTCATTTTTAACATGTATCTAGAAATATAGATGCTGCTTATCCCAGTGAATAGGCTAGAAAATATTTCATTTGCTTGGTTTTTTTCCTTAGTTATGACTCACAATAATAGACACATTTACTGTTTTGATTCTTTGAATCAAATCAAGATGAATTGAATGTAACGGAAATGAAGTTAAGTTTGAAGAAAACTGTAGCCTAAACATTTAGTTGTATTTATGCTCCAGATTTCCACCTACTGAATCTTCAGCAAAAATAATTTTTAAATAGTGCCTCACTTTGAAATGCAGGGTGCAAGTTCTGAAATCATAATTCATATTGCTTTGTCTACTGATTGACATATTCTGCAGAAATAATGATTGATGGGTGATAATGGCTTAACCTGGAGCATCTTTTACAGTCCTTCTTATGATACTTAAAAAAAAAAAAAGTTGGAGAACATTCTGGAGATCGGAAGAGC